TAACCTCATAGGCTAGACTCCTAGGGTTTAGCCATTATGTTCTCGTGGTAGATCAACTCTTGTAACACTCATATTCATCAAGATCAATCAAGCAGGAAGTAGGGTATTACCTCCATAGAGAGGGCCCGAACTTGGGTAAACATTGTGTCCCCCGCCTCTTGTTACCATTAGCCTTAGACGCATAGTTCGGGACCCCCTACTCGAGATCCGCCGGTTTTGACACCGACATTGGTGCTTTCATTGAGAGGTTCGCTGCATCGTCACCAGAAGGCTTGATGTCTCCATCAATCATCTACAACAACGTAGTCCAGGGGGAGATCTTCCTCCCCGGACAGATCTTCGTATTCGGCGGCTTTGCACTATGGGCCAACTCGTTTGGCCATCTAGAGTAGATCGATAGCTACGCCCCTGGCCATCAGGTCAGATTTGGAAGCCTGAATTTTGTGGCCGATATCCGCGGAGACTTGATCCTCGATGGATTCGAGCCCATGACGGCTGTCCCCGGCCACCACGATGAACATGACCTAGATCTGTCATTTGGACATGCACAGGAGATAGCACATGTGGCCGCCCTGGCCCTCGAGCCGGAGTGGACTGCGTTGTCCGAAGACGGGAAGCATAACCCCGCCACGGAGGCTGTAGACTCAGCGGCGCTCGAGCCGCATACAGACCCGACATCAACCTGGGCTTGTGTCACCGGAACCTCGGACTCGTCTCCGGCCATGGGTTCCGAACCGCGTGCATCCGCGTCCATCAAACCTGATTGGGCGCCGGTCTTGGAGTTCAGCTCCGCGGACATCTTTCAGCACTCGCCTTTTGGCGACGTGTTAAACTCATTGAAGTCCCTCTCCTTGTCAGGGGACTCTCGGCCGAACTATGTCCGGCTTGAATGGGAAGCGGACGACGAAGAACTTCGTTTCCCACCCACCACCCACTTTGTAGCCAATGTCGATGACGTAACCAACATGCTTGATTACGACTCCAAAGACATCGACGGTATGGACAACGATGCCAGAGAGGAGCAGGATGTTGGGGAACATAGTAATTTCAAAAAAATTCCTACGCACACGCAAGATCATGGTGATGCATAGCAACAAGAGGGGAGAGTGTTCTCTACATACCCTTGTAGACCGTAAGCGGAAGCGTTAGCACAACGCGGTTGATGTAGTCGTACGTCTTCATGATCCGACCGATCAAGTACCGAACGTACGGCACCTCCGAGTTCAGCACACATTCATCCTGATGACGTCCCTCACACTCCGATCCAGCCGAGAGTTGAGGGAGAGTTTCGTCAGCACGACGGCATGGTGACGATAATGATGTTCTACCGACGCAGGGCTTCGCCTAAGCACCGCTACAGTATTATCGAGGTGGACTATGGTGGAGGGGGGCACCGCACACGGCTAAAAGATCAAACGATCAATTGTTGTGTCTCTAGGGTGCCCCCCTGCCCCCGTATATAAAGGAGCAAGGGGGGTGCGGCCGGCCAAGGGAAGAGGCGCGCCGGGAGGAGTCCTACTCCCACCGGGAGTAGGACTCCCCCCCTTTCCTAGTTGCATTAGGACTTGGGAGGGGGGAAATAGGAGGGAGAGAGGAAGGAAGGGGGGTGTCGGTGTCAAAACCGGCGGATCTCGGGTAGGGGGTCCCGAACTGTGCGTCTAGGTGGATGGTAACAGGAGGCAAGGGACACGATGTTTTTACCCAGGTTCGGGCCCTCTCGATGGAGGTAAAACCCTACTCCTGCTTGATTAATATTGATGATATGGGTAGTACAAGAGTTCATCTACCACGAGATCAGAGAGGCTAAACCCTAGAAGCTAGCCTATGGTATGATTGTTCGTCCTACGGACTAAAACCCTCCAGTTTATATAGACACCGGAGAGGGCTAGGGTTACACAGAGTCGGTTACAATTGGAGGAGATCTACATATCCGTATCGCCAAGCTTGCCTTCCATGCCAAGGAAAGTCCCATCCGGACACGGGACGAAGTCTTCAATCTTGCATCTACATAGTCCGGGTGTCCGGCCAAAGGTCATAGTCCGGCCATCCAGACACCCCCTAATCCGGGACTCCCGCAGTAGCCCCTGAACCAGGCTTCAATGACGACGAGTCCGGCGCGCAAATTGTCTTCGGCATTGCAAGGCGGGTTCCTCCTCCGAATACTTCATAAAAGGTGTTGAACACAAGGATAGTGTCCGGCTCTGCAAAATAAGTTCCACATACCACCGTAGAGAGAATAATATTTACACAAATCTAATCTGCTGACGTATTCCGCAGCGTGACATCACGCCACGGCCAAGCCTTTATTCGAATCGTTTTACTGTTCCACCTCAGCGCGTTTAGAGAGGCGGTTTCCTTGGCACGTCTTGTCAAAGCAGAGATCGTGTCCCCTTATTCCGAGATTCTCATCAATACGAGCGTGGGTAACCCAACCGTGCCATTGGTATGACTTATTAATTGAAAGTGAGTCCTAAACGGTTACGGGGAGGCTCTTGGTATTAAACCTCTTTATAAAGAGACCAAGGCTCGACTCCATTCTTTTCAATCCAATCAAATCCGCCCCTTGCCTCGAGTTCCAACACCCAAAGCTCCAGATTCAGGCGCTTCGGACCTTCGATGATGTCCGGCTCCGACCTCCAAGGCCGGTGGACACCTTCCTCCGTTACGGAAGAAGACGTGCGAAAGCTGAGAGATGCCAGGTATCTAACCGGCGAAATCTCGCATAGGCTGCCTGCTCAAGGGCAGGCTATTCCCACTCCTCAGCCCGGTGAGAGTGTGGTGTTCACATCTCACTTCCTTCGCGGGCTAGGCTTCCCGATTGATCCCTTCGTGAGGGGGCTCATGTTTTATTACGGGCTGGAATTTCACGACTTGGCTCCTGAGTCCATCCTCCAAATCTCATCGTTCATTGTCGTGTGTGAGGCCTTCCTCCATATTACTCCTCACTTTGGATTGTGGCTTAAAACCTTCAAGGTAGAACCGAAGATGATTGAGGGGCAGCACGCTGAGTGCGGAGGGGCTACTATAAGCAAGATTGCCGATGCTCCATGGACCGAGGGCTCTTTTCAAGAGGAGTTCGGCTTATGGCAACGGGACTGGTTTTACATCACAGCCCCCAGGGGCACCACATGGGTGGTGCCATCTGCTTTTCGCTCGGGTCCCCCACCACGGCTAGCGTCATGGGTCAATGAAGAGCTTATCTGGGGGCCGTCCAAAGACGTGCCCTTGTTGTAGCGCTGCATTCGAGGTCTCCTAGAAAGAGATATTGACTTGGCCGTAGTGGCGCAAGTTATGCTGATTCACCGCATGCTGCCGTGCAAACGTCGCCCTCTCCGCCTGTGGAAATTTAATCTAGAGGGACCGCGAGTCCTCCAACATTTTATGGGCACGATGCCCGTGGAGATGTACAAATTGTTCTTCGGATCACAAGCAAGGTGTCCGGACTTGTCCGAGGATGCAGGTCTGAGCTGTAATCGCCCGGATGCTCAAGTAAGTAGCCCCGTACTTGGACACGCCATCTGTATTTTTATCATAAAACTGCCCTTAAAAGAGCTATCCTTTGAACAGGAGTGGATAGCGAAATCAAAGCTTATCATGTGTCCGGCCCCCCTGCCTGAGACCACGCCGGATCCCGTGTTGACCAGGATGCTGGAGATTGCGCCTTCGGAAGAAGGCGAAGAGGGGACCCCAGGAGCTACCACCTCCGTGAAGGAGGCTGTCAGGAAGGGAGGAATCGAGAATTCCCCCAACCAGGGAAAGAAAAGGACCGCCTCTGAAGACCCGGAGGCGATGGCCTCAAAGTGGGGGAAGAAATCTTCGTCAGAGGGTCCGGCGCTGGTGAATGCCCCGGCCGTATTGCGCCCCAAGGGGATCAACTCTCCACCGAGCCATAAGTAAAGAGAGGGGTTCCAAAATGAGTGACATCCCTGTTTTATTTCTAAGGAAGATAACCGAAATATTACCTTGTAGTTCGGATCTCAACCCTTCTCAGCAGAGCTCATCTTCAGGGGATCTTCAACTGGAGATGATGGAGAGCGAAACGCTTCCCCCAGCTGTACCGTCT